TAACGTTGGTCAAATTTCATCATGTTTCCTTACGATAACATCATACTGTCTTTTAATTTGTAGGTCTTATCAGGCAATGGAACAAAACATGAAGACAGTGGAAAAGTGGAAGATCAGTGACGGAGCAAAATACAACTATGGCAGGTCAGTTCACGTTTCCCTTACTCTTGCATGGAGTTAGAGACTGTGTACAATGTACAATGGGGTTAACAGGGACCTGCTCGTGTCTAAATCCCTATTCTTGAGATAATTTCTCGTCGCTCAGAGCGAATACATTATTTACTAGCAAAAGTCTAAGCCTGATGTGGCTACCTCTCTAAATATTGTAATTTATTTATTATTTATTTATGTAATGGCATCCCTTTTCGTTGTTTAATGTTACTCTGAAAGTAAACCATAACCAGTTATAATTTGCTCATGAAATAATATTTTGTGCTATTCAGGCAGGCTTGAAGTTTATCAGGTGAAGAATTAGAACAGAGAAAGATCTAAGATGGACCTATATACATCTTCAGCAGGTCAGTTCATGTTTTCCTAAATTCTGAATGGAGTTATAAAGCTAGTCATGTACTATACACAAAACAGACAGGAGTAGCCAGTTTTGGCAAATAACCTGTTCTTGCTAATAATTTCTTTGCCCAATAAGAACATTGCTTTTAGTTTGCGTTACGTTATGCGGTATGTTTTGCTGTACGTTTTGCGTTACCTAAGGAAATTATTACTATGAATAATTTTGTTCATCAAGATGTCTTTTGTATTTGTCGTCAGGCAGACATCTAGCACGGAGACGGGTGACATCGCTACAGTGAAAGATCAGTGGTGGAGTTAAAGACATCTACGATGCAAGGTCATTTGATGTTTCACTTTACCTGGGATAAAGTTCCAAAGAGTAGCTGGCCTTTTGTTTGTTTATTTGTTAAAGTCAAAATCCATACTTTTGCTGCGATTTTTTTTCTTTGGACTAGGAGAGCAAATGTCGTTTAGTCACGTAATGTTAGAATGGTCGAACATAATTACAAAATTTTCTGCAAATAAACAAAACCTGATTAGCTTGTCTATATTTATGTATGTTGCCATGGCAACGGCACATACTTCAGCTAAGCTATCAAAAAAAAAAACAAAAAAACTGAAGTCTGGGTTGTTAACTCGCGTGTTGTCATTTTGGCGACCAAAGGATGAAGGGTTTCCGAAAAAAACGTAACCAGAGCCACTAGCGAGTTGTTCCACAAATTAAATAAACTTTTGTATCTCTTTTCAGATAAAGTTGACGTCCATATAGTCATGGCATTGAAGCAGTGAAAGATCGAGGGTGGAGTCGAAGATATCTATGGCAGGTCAGTTAATGTTTTGTAATCTAGAACTGAGTAACAAATTTAAAGAGGCACGGTTGTTGCTAAGTACCTGAACGTATCATGGCGTCCAGCTGGCGTAACAACTGTTCGGGAATGTTGTTTTTATTTCTGGTTGAACACGACGGATCGGAAAATCTTGCATAGAGTCGGCATCACAAAATTTGCCAAAACGCACTTGTTGACTTGTAAGTCATAATATACCAAAAAAAAAAACATGGTTCGAATTATTAATTCTCTGCACTGATTGCAGTTTATTTCGTTTGTTGGTAATTCTGAGAATTCGATTGTTCACCGAGACAACACTTACACACTTCGATCGGTTCATTTATTCTCATCACCTGTCGGCTTGTCAATTTACTGATAGGTTAAGGAGAAATAAGATGTTGATAGGATTCTTGTTGTCGATCAGTTTTGGGAAGGAAAAATTGTAGGAAAATTCCAGCTGGAAAGTGTGAGTTTCTTTAAATTGTTTGACTTTGATTTGAAACAGTAGACCGGAAAAGTGTTCTTTGCTTTAGCAGATTTTTATTCCGAATAGCCAAAGAACGAGGGAAAACATTAGGTCACTAAAGCTCACGCAATGTCGTTTAATATCTTATAGAAACTCAAAGTTTTGTTAAATTCCAAGAATGACAACTAATAGATGATTCAAGGTTTTAACTGACCAACCATGTTTCGATCTTAACATCCTTACTAACAACTGACAGATGATTCCAAATTAATTTAAACTGAAAAAGTCATGTTTTGATCTCAATATCCTTACTGACAACTGATAGATGATTCCAAATTTTAGCTTACAAATCATGTTTTTTTCACAACATTCTTACTGACAACTGACAAATCATGTTTCGAACGTAAGATCCTTACTGGCAACTAACAGATGATTCCAAATCTTAACTGAAAAAATCATGTTTTGATCTCGACATCCTTACTGACAACTGACAAATCATGCTTCGAACGTAAGATCCTTGTTGACAACTGACAGATGATTCCAAATTTTAACTGACAAAATCCCGTTTTGATCTCAGCATCGTTACTGACAACTAACCTGGTTTCAAATTTTCACTGAGAAATATTTTTTTTCGTCTCGAGATCATAAACGAAAACTGACCGGAGATAATTCCAAATTTTAACTTCAAAATATGTTTCGTACTCAACATCCTTATTGGCAACAAACAGACTACTTCAAATTTCACGGATAGATAATATGTTTTGATCTCAACATCCTTACTGACAAAGTGACAGATAAATCCAAAATGAAACTTGCAAATTATTTCGCTACACGGATCCATATTGACAAATGGTGAGTTGGATCAAACTTTTAAGTGACCCTGTATATTTCATGTGCAATACTTTTACTGGGACAGATACTTTTAGCTGACAGATGTCTTTTTTGTAATTGACTGGCAGAAAATGATTTGATCGCATTACCCCATGGCTTTATTTTTTTTCTCGATCACTGCATCTTTGCTGACAGATTGCTCCAAGTTTCAACAATTTATGTTTTGATCTGAAGATTTTTTCTGATGACTTTGATCTCGGTATCGTTCTCACGACTAACAGACGACCTGAAATTGTAACTGAGAAATCATTTATCGATCTAGACATCTATCTAGACACAGAAAAAAAAATATATGACTGAAGCAAAGTTTACGGATTAATTCTCTTCCTAGGTACTTAGCAGTGTTTCACTTTCTTCATTCAATAAGAAAACAACAACAACAACAACACTTATTTACTCAAAAAAAAGGAAAAAAGAATACAGTAATATGAAGCTCACAAGCATACAAAGCAAACGTAACTTATTAAATAGAGATATAAACATAGAGCAGTTTTCAATTGAGTGTCGAAAACCCAAAAGCAAAGTAACCATTCTGACCAATCAAAAAGGACACAGGCAATAAGCTGAACTGAACAATTTAAAACTCGAAGTAATTACCTGTAGCTGACGCGAAGCGCGGGAAAAAGTGTGCGAACGCGTCACGATTGCTTTCGGTTTTACTTCTGATTGGTTATAATTAAAAAAGTGGCGCGAGTTTTTTAAGCCAATTGCGTGGCCTACTTAATGCAAAATTAATTACTTTTCGACACTCAAATGAAAACCGCTCTATATAAAACAAAGTTAAAAGCTAATATTACAACAAGGCAAGAAAAAATACAACAACAACGAAAAGCTGATCGAGGAAAGTGCCTTATTTTGCCTCATACTGGTTACGATCGTGAAATCAGCTAAAAAGTAGAGATTTCTTTAAATCTTTAGAACTTAGATGTTCTCATCGAAAACAAAAATACCTTTTTTTTAAAATGGAAAAGGGAAGAAATTTTCTTGGTTTTAAGTGAGACAAAAAACAAGAACGATCTTTTGGTATGGTGAAAGAGAAACTGGTTGACAAATAATCGCAGAACAGTTTATTCTTTATTGAATTAGACAAGATTAGAGCTGCTGCAAACAGTTAGAATATCCTCAAACATTTAACTGAGACTTATTCTTATAGTTAAAGATATTCATGAAAATGTGTCAGCTTTCTTTGAAGTGTTTTTGTCATCACCAGATTGTTTGTTTTACTGGGTCGGCCGAGCAGAAGTATATATTTGTTTCTCCTGTTCGTAAGAGCTGTCGTCCTAAGTTTATACAACCTGAACCTAGTGCAGCACGTAAATTGCAAATTTTGCGGAACCAAAAAGGAAGCTTTTCAAAGGTAACTATTACTTAGTCCTGTTAATCTTCACCTGGGCCTCTGTTTAAAAAATCTACAAGTTTATTAAACAACAGCAACAACCGCAACAACCAACCAAACAATTCGTGAATGAAATATTATCATCGTCAATTTCTTTTTAAAAGCGTTTCAATTTTCGGCCTCGAAGCCAGTGCTCTTGTCTAACCAGTCTGCAAATTTAACTTAATTCCTCTCCGTTTAAAGAACAACGAAATTCAGACAGTATCTTATAGACATCACTATTTAAATTGTTACAGCAAATAATGTTGACTTAGCTAATTGAGATTTTCTTATCTATTTCCTTGCAAATGTGATTTAAATCTTATTTCTCCTTACAAAATCTGCACATTGTCAAAAAAACAGGTGATGAGGATATCTAGACAAGGTTTATGGGATAGGATGAGGAAAGCTTTACGTAGTTAAAAAAAAACAACAAAACAACAGAAGCATCNAAGATAACTGAATTCCGATTGGTTTAGATAAAGTGCTGTTTTCTAAAGCAACATATTACCGAAGAAGAACCGAGATCTTCCTAACGATTTTTGAACGCCATCAAATGGTCACCGAATTTTCCCAATCCCCTGGAAATTGCTCAGTTTGTGGACTATTCGGCTTGTGATTAAGTCTGCGTTCAAGGCCTTGTGAACCATCAGGCCGGCGCTTACCTCTGGTTTCGATAGCGTGAAGCGACTAAGGGTATTTCTAACCTCCCCTCCTTACTAATGCCTTAGTACCCCTCCCTTGGGTTTTGTTCATACATGCTTTTTTTTCAGCTTCCTAGCTCCAATCTTCTTCACTGTCACTCAGGACTTAACTTGATTAGGCCAATTATAACTTGGTACCGAGGCTTAGGTAAATAAAACCAGAGAAATCGCATCAATGTTGAGAGATAAATAATTTTAAATTTCTTTTTTTTATTCCGTGGGAGCCAAGTTAGAATTTATGGGTTTTTTTTTAATTGTCCTATTTGCATTGCAAATATTTTTATGCTCATTTGATATTCATGTTGCTCGCCACGTTTGTACGAGGTGTTTGGAAGTTCGGTTTCTTGGTTCAAAATTCGCCCAATACCTTTTCTAAATTAGAAGAATCGTTGCCAAGCATGTTCCAGACAAAAACCCTTGTTACAGGAACCTTCTGGAACGAAAGTGAATCGTATGTGGTACTTGAGAGCCGGAAACGGCAAGCGAGTTCAAGCTGCGAAGTAGACTCGCAGTACTTTTGACTTGCTGGTGGTATGTGAAGAAAACTTAATGCTTTATTACTCGTTTTATGTCAGACCGTTGAAATGATTTCAAAGAATTTGATACATTTATTTAGCTAAAATCGACAAACAATTCATGCCGGTAAAGCACAACTAACTTTATACTGATGCTGAGACTTAAGTACTTAGTAGTTATCAATAACGAACAAGGAGAAGGACTGAATTGAAACGGTTCCCGATACAGCTCTGGTTCAGATTTTGCAGCTCTTCTCCTTCATAACGTTGGTCAAATTTCATCATGTTTCCTTACGATAACATCATACTGTCTTTTAATTTGTAGGTCTTATCAGGCAATGGAACAAAACATGAAGACAGTGGAAAAGTGGAAGATCAGTGACGGAGCAAAATACAACTATGGCAGGTCAGTTCACGTTTCCCTTACTCTTGCATGGAGTTAGAGACTGTGTACAATGTACAATGGGGTTAACAGGGACCTGCTCGTGTCTAAATCCCTATTCTTGAGATAATTTCTCGTCGCTCAGAGCGAATACATTATTTACTAGCAAAAGTCTAAGCCTGATGTGGCTACCTCTCTAAATATTGTAATTTATTTATTATTTATTTATGTAATGGCATCCCTTTTCGTTGTTTAATGTTACTCTGAAAGTAAACCATAACCAGTTATAATTTGCTCATGAAATAATATTTTGTGCTATTCAGGCAGGCTTGAAGTTTATCAGGTGAAGAATTAGAACAGAGAAAGATCTAAGATGGACCTATATACATCTTCAGCAGGTCAGTTCATGTTTTCCTAAATTCTGAATGGAGTTATAAAGCTAGTCATGTACTATACACAAAACAGACAGGAGTAGCCAGTTTTGGCAAATAACCTGTTCTTGCTAATAATTTCTTTGCCCAATAAGAACATTGCTTTTAGTTTGCGTTACGTTATGCGGTATGTTTTGCTGTACGTTTTGCGTTACCTAAGGAAATTATTACTATGAATAATTTTGTTCATCAAGATGTCTTTTGTATTTGTCGTCAGGCAGACATCTAGCACGGAGACGGGTGACATCGCTACAGTGAAAGATCAGTGGTGGAGTTAAAGACATCTACGATGCAAGGTCATTTGATGTTTCACTTTACCTGGGATAAAGTTCCAAAGAGTAGCTGGCCTTTTGTTTGTTTATTTGTTAAAGTCAAAATCCATACTTTTGCTGCGATTTTTTTTCTTTGGACTAGGAGAGCAAATGTCGTTTAGTCACGTAATGTTAGAATGGTCGAACATAATTACAAAATTTTCTGCAAATAAACAAAACCTGATTAGCTTGTCTATATTTATGTATGTTGCCATGGCAACGGCACATACTTCAGCTAAGCTATCAAAAAAAAAAACAAAAAAACTGAAGTCTGGGTTGTTAACTCGCGTGTTGTCATTTTGGCGACCAAAGGATGAAGGGTTTCCGAAAAAAACGTAACCAGAGCCACTAGCGAGTTGTTCCACAAATTAAATAAACTTTTGTATCTCTTTTCAGATAAAGTTGACGTCCATATAGTCATGGCATTGAAGCAGTGAAAGATCGAGGGTGGAGTCGAAGATATCTATGGCAGGTCAGTTAATGTTTTGTAATCTAGAACTGAGTAACAAATTTAAAGAGGCACGGTTGTTGCTAAGTACCTGAACGTATCATGGCGTCCAGCTGGCGTAACAACTGTTCGGGAATGTTGTTTTTATTTCTGGTTGAACACGACGGATCGGAAAATCTTGCATAGAGTCGGCATCACAAAATTTGCCAAAACGCACTTGTTGACTTGTAAGTCATAATATACCAAAAAAAAAAACATGGTTCGAATTATTAATTCTCTGCACTGATTGCAGTTTATTTCGTTTGTTGGTAATTCTGAGAATTCGATTGTTCACCGAGACAACACTTACACACTTCGATCGGTTCATTTATTCTCATCACCTGTCGGCTTGTCAATTTACTGATAGGTTAAGGAGAAATAAGATGTTGATAGGATTCTTGTTGTCGATCAGTTTTGGGAAGGAAAAATTGTAGGAAAATTCCAGCTGGAAAGTGTGAGTTTCTTTAAATTGTTTGACTTTGATTTGAAACAGTAGACCGGAAAAGTGTTCTTTGCTTTAGCAGATTTTTATTCCGAATAGCCAAAGAACGAGGGAAAACATTAGGTCACTAAAGCTCACGCAATGTCGTTTAATATCTTATAGAAACTCAAAGTTTTGTTAAATTCCAAGAATGACAACTAATAGATGATTCAAGGTTTTAACTGACCAACCATGTTTCGATCTTAACATCCTTACTAACAACTGACAGATGATTCCAAATTAATTTAAACTGAAAAAGTCATGTTTTGATCTCAATATCCTTACTGACAACTGATAGATGATTCCAAATTTTAGCTTACAAATCATGTTTTTTTCACAACATTCTTACTGACAACTGACAAATCATGTTTCGAACGTAAGATCCTTACTGGCAACTAACAGATGATTCCAAATCTTAACTGAAAAAATCATGTTTTGATCTCGACATCCTTACTGACAACTGACAAATCATGCTTCGAACGTAAGATCCTTGTTGACAACTGACAGATGATTCCAAATTTTAACTGACAAAATCCCGTTTTGATCTCAGCATCGTTACTGACAACTAACCTGGTTTCAAATTTTCACTGAGAAATATTTTTTTTCGTCTCGAGATCATAAACGAAAACTGACCGGAGATAATTCCAAATTTTAACTTCAAAATATGTTTCGTACTCAACATCCTTATTGGCAACAAACAGACTACTTCAAATTTCACGGATAGATAATATGTTTTGATCTCAACATCCTTACTGACAAAGTGACAGATAAATCCAAAATGAAACTTGCAAATTATTTCGCTACACGGATCCATATTGACAAATGGTGAGTTGGATCAAACTTTTAAGTGACCCTGTATATTTCATGTGCAATACTTTTACTGGGACAGATACTTTTAGCTGACAGATGTCTTTTTTGTAATTGACTGGCAGAAAATGATTTGATCGCATTACCCCATGGCTTTATTTTTTTTCTCGATCACTGCATCTTTGCTGACAGATTGCTCCAAGTTTCAACAATTTATGTTTTGATCTGAAGATTTTTTCTGATGACTTTGATCTCGGTATCGTTCTCACGACTAACAGACGACCTGAAATTGTAACTGAGAAATCATTTATCGATCTAGACATCTATCTAGACACAGAAAAAAAAATATATGACTGAAGCAAAGTTTACGGATTAATTCTCTTCCTAGGTACTTAGCAGTGTTTCACTTTCTTCATTCAATAAGAAAACAACAACAACAACAACACTTATTTACTCAAAAAAAAGGAAAAAAGAATACAGTAATATGAAGCTCACAAGCATACAAAGCAAACGTAACTTATTAAATAGAGATATAAACATAGAGCAGTTTTTAATTGAGTGTCGAAAACCCAAAAGCAAAGTAACCATTCTGACCAATCAAAAAGGACACAGGCAATAAGCTGAACTGAACAATTTAAAACTCGAAGTAATTACCTGTAGCTGACGCGAAGCGCGGGAAAAAGTGTGCGAACGCGTCACGATTGCTTTCGGTTTTACTTCTGATTGGTTATAATTAAAAAAGTGGCGCGAGTTTTTTAAGCCAATTGCGTGGCCTACTTAATGCAAAATTAATTACTTTTCGACACTCAAATGAAAACCGCTCTATATAAAACAAAGTTAAAAGCTAATATTACAACAAGGCAAGAAAAAATACAACAACAACGAAAAGCTGATCGAGGAAAGTGCCTTATTTTGCCTCATACTGGTTACGATCGTGAAATCAGCTAAAAAGTAGAGATTTCTTTAAATCTTTAGAACTTAGATGTTCTCATCGAAAACAAAAATACCTTTTTTTTAAAATGGAAAAGGGAAGAAATTTTCTTGGTTTTAAGTGAGACAAAAAACAAGAACGATCTTTTGGTATGGTGAAAGAGAAACTGGTTGACAAATAATCGCAGAACAGTTTATTCTTTATTGAATTAGACAAGATTAGAGCTGCTGCAAACAGTTAGAATATCCTCAAACATTTAACTGAGACTTATTCTTATAGTTAAAGATATTCATGAAAATGTGTCAGCTTTCTTTGAAGTGTTTTTGTCATCACCAGATTGTTTGTTTTACTGGGTCGGCCGAGCAGAAGTATATATTTGTTTCTCCTGTTCGTAAGAGCTGTCGTCCTAAGTTTATACAACCTGAACCTAGTGCAGCACGTAAATTGCAAATTTTGCGGAACCAAAAAGGAAGCTTTTCAAAGGTAACTATTACTTAGTCCTGTTAATCTTCACCTGGGCCTCTGTTTAAAAAATCTACAAGTTTATTAAACAACAGCAACAACCGCAACAACCAACCAAACAATTCGTGAATGAAATATTATCATCGTCAATTTCTTTTTAAAAGCGTTTCAATTTTCGGCCTCGAAGCCAGTGCTCTTGTCTAACCAGTCTGCAAATTTAACTTAATTCCTCTCCGTTTAAAGAACAACGAAATTCAGACAGTATCTTATAGACATCACTATTTAAATTGTTACAGCAAATAATGTTGACTTAGCTAATTGAGATTTTCTTATCTATTTCCTTGCAAATGTGATTTAAATCTTATTTCTCCTTACAAAATCTGCACATTGTCAAAAAAACAGGTGATGAGGATATCTAGACAAGGTTTATGGGATAGGATGAGGAAAGCTTTACGTAGTTAAAAAAAAACAACAAAACAACAGAAGCATCAGTATGATATATTAAACATTTTCCTCTCTTTCTTTCAAGGTTTCTGACCATACGACTAAGGGAGGGTAAAAGCGAAGACAAGACACTGGAGGTAATACTAAGAAGACAAGACACTAAAGACAAGACATAATACAGAAGGGACCAAAGTAAGACAGATTGAGAGTTTTTTCAAGCCGAAAAAATGGGACGAGTAAGATAGGATTTTTTTTTTTTTTTCTGTGGACTAAACGTCAGGATCGCAAAAGTTTTCAGCTCTCAATTAAGCAAAACAAGAAGGCTTTCTATGAAAAGGGACCGGCCCAAGAAGTGATTTTTGTTTGGAATGTTTCGTTAGCTTAGCTTTACAAATTTTTATCCAGTTTTAATCTTTTGCCTTAGTTCACGATGCGAGAGTTTGGTGGATTGTGTGACTGACGCGTACGTGACTCTTGAGCATCAGTGGTGTTGCGTTACACTATCGGCCGATGATAATAGGTTAGTAAGGCTTTGTGCGGGAATTTCAATACACGGCGTGGCAACAGGAGATTTAACTGTCAATTTAGCTAGTAAAGATTGTAAAGGGCCTTTGATATTTTGTTGGCTTTTTTAGATAAACGGCAAGGCAGCAGGGTACCAAACGAAACTTTATTTTCTTTATTTTTTTAAGTTAGCAGTTAAAATACGGCAACATTTCCTGAATTTGAATAATTCCCGTGCAAAACTTTATTAACATATTCTCAACGGTCGTTAGTGTAGCGCAACACCACATTTGTTCAATAGTCACGTACGTTTCTTTCATATGATTCACCGAGTTCTCGTATTGTGAGCTTCAAAATTCTTTGAATTTCCTCGAGAAGAAAATTTTTACAGTTAGCTTTCGTGTTTAGAATCACAATTTTTTACTAGTCTTCTTTCACGGACCAATTTCTGAATGGATTATTCATGTCGTAAGCAAAAGCAATTTTAAAAGTTCTCTTGAACCAGAATTTAGAAAAAAAATTCGTTGCTAAGTTTCTGTCGAGTTATTTCAAGCGTGTTTCGTCGAGTTAGCTTTGTACAAAATCAATTTCTGTTGTTTATTAAATTTTTTCTGAAAAATTGTTTTGACTGCCTAAATTTACTCTAAGGGTAACCCTTGTCAAAATTTTTTAATTTTCCCGCCAAAAGACTTAGAAAAAATACGGGCGCCAATAATACGCATGCGCCAACTTTTAAAAAAAAATTACTTCTTGTTCACATCTGTTTAAATATTTTTATTTTTCCCGCCAAAAGACTTAGAAAAAATACGGTGCCTAAAATACGCATGTGCCATTTTTTTTTTTCAAACATGTATTTTAACTCTAAATTATCGCTTAACTTAATTGTTTAAAATGTATCTATATATCCTATGGCTTCTGTTGTAAAACTTTGTCATTTGCGAACGAAAGCAAAATCACTTTAGATGAATGAGAAAGTTGAAAAGCAATATAGCAAGTGTTTTGAAAAATTTTCTTCGTAGCAAACGGTAGCGATAAAAATTTAAGAACAATCAGACAATTGGAACCACGTTTTAAAAATCAAAGTT